AGAGCCTTTTCATCTGTGCCGGCTCCCTAGAATGTCAAGACAAAGACAGTCTCAGCCACAGTTCTGACCCTTGTACAGAGATCCACGGGGCCCCGGCCAAGGAGGCATCTGCTCCAAGGAACCACCCAGGAGGCTGGAGCCCAGGCCAGGCCTTCCTGGACTTTCCCTTCACCTCCAGACATGGCTCCCACACCAGGACCTTGGCATAATCAGGGATGACCATGCTGGTCTCTCAAGATTTCCAGAACTTCCCATGAGAACTGCTTTGGGCAAAAAAAAAAAAAAAAAAAGAGAAAAGATATATGGGCATATGTGTATAAAGACACATATCCACATACCTATGTAAGTATGAATATTTACATGTAAGTACATAAAAAGGAGACATGCATGTCCATCACCGTGTTAACGGTGGTTGCGGTCCCTGGGTGAGTAAGGGACCTCAGATGATTGCTATTTTCTTCTGTTCTTGCTCTATCTACATTTTCTCAAGTTTTCACACAAAACATGCATTGCTTTGTCAGAAGAAAAAAAAGTTTTTTGCTTTAAGATAAAAACATGCCACATGTGTTTATACTTGGATTGAGGAGTGCTATGTGGACTGTGACATTAGGGCCCTGGACTGGGACAGGCCGGGGAACCTGCTGTGCAAAGGTCCCCACACAGAGGGAAGCGGGCGGCAGACAGACAGGCAGACAGGACTGACGACTGATTCACTCTTTCCAACTTCTGTCAGACGCCTGCCACGTGCCGGACACTGTGCGAGGTGCCGGGGCCGTGGCTACAAAAGAAATGGCAAGTCATGTCCTCTGTCCTCACAGGGGTTACCGCCCAGTGCTCAGCTGGTCCCTGGGTTCTCCGACCTGCAGGAGGTCGACCCTGATGGAGAGTGTCCGTAGTCTCTGTCTTAGACGCAGGTGTGTGGTAGGGAAATCGGGCGGGTCCTGAGATCCAGGATCCAGCCCCATCCTTCCCCCAACCCACTGACTCTCTGAGCCTCCCTCGGTTTCCCATTTGTAAACTGCAAGAATGGAAAGGGCTGGGTCACTGGTCCCTTCTATTTCTGTAAAGAAGGGACATGGCCGGGCGCGGTGGCTCACGCCTGTAATCCTAGCTCTCTGGGAGGCCGAGGCGGGCGGATTGTTTGAGCTCAGGAGTTCGAAACCAGCCTGAGCAAGA